GCACCCAACTAATATGCCTGTGAGTGGTAGTTCTTTCAGGCAGTGCCCAACCAGGCCCCATGAGTCAAGCCCCAGCTACCAGAGTCTCACAGGCAAGCTTGTCTCCCACGTCTGTTTTCCAGTTGTGTAACAAACAATCAAGTTATAGTACTGTAACTCAAACAGCCTAATTTGAAAGGATTGTCTTAAAGAATGAGCTTCAAGGAAATTAATGTTTCTTCAATCCCTAGTTGAAAAGTAAACTCCTTCCATCTCCCCAACTGATAAATATTCTCAGTCTTCACTAAAGCATGGTTTGAAGACCCGAATGGATGGGTTCATAAGTGAAACTGCTAGACAAGGTGTTTTTTTATTTATTTGTTTTGTTGTTTTTTGCAGCATTTGAGGAAAATTTCCCCTCCTTTCATTTTCTGAAAAGATTTATGCACACAGCCAGCATTCTAATCTGTGATGTCATCAAGATTTATTGCCTGGAGCTGCTGCATGGACAACGAATCAAACCGTTTGTAGATTCATACAATGTTTGTTGGAACTCTAACACACACTTAAGCTTTATTTTGCTGTAGCACTCTTGAGTTATGGCATAGGAAAGCACACCATTATCTCCAGAAAATCATACTCGGTGTTGTCTCATGTCTCTTGTCATGCTTTCCATTTTTCTGTGGTCATTCTCCAAGGTGTTAATCTGTACGGTGTGTCATTTGAGGTGTATAGGGTGGCAACTTCTCCGGCTGTGCTAGACAATAATGTATGACAGAAAACAAACTCTTTTGGGTAATGTTAATATGGTATTCAGATACCGAACTCCAAACCATTAGCATTTAATAGTTCCCAGATGTGAGTTTGCGTAACTGTGTAAATGGGTTGAAGGTTTTTTCTTGAAAAGGAGCGTGTCTGCTAAGGAAACCTTCCCTGGATAAATAAAAGTTGTTGACATACAAAAATATGATGCCAAATTTTAACAACCAGAAGAACTAAAACAATAAACAAAATCATGTAAAATATAAAGTTAAATATGTACTGTACATAAATTGACATTTTATTCTCTTAAAAGTTTCAACACATTCGAAGAAGCAGCTGACAAATCTGGACAGAGTCAGCTGCTTGAGTCTGCCTCAAGATCCTCATAATCAGAAGTGAGCTGAGCTAGGGATGTCTCCTTTTATTCCTTCACCTCTTTTCCTTAGCCCTCCAGAGACATGAGCTTAATCAGCTGAATGACCACGCTGTGGAGGCACAGTTCTGGTTCACTGTATCTCCCACAGAGCTTAACAGGTCAGCTCTGGTTACTTCTTCGCTAACCTTGTCTTTCTGACTAATTTGGACTCAAGAGGGCTGACTTCGCAGGAGCTGTGGTGTGCGTATCCAGGATCTGGAGAAGCAGTACCTGGTGCCTGTAGTAGGAGATTTGACTTTGAGCAAGGCTAGAGGGCCACAGACTCATATTCACTTGATTTTTTTCCAGTGTTTTCCCCTGCGGATGTTCAAGACTTTGTCGGATTTGCTGCATTTATCCATGACTTTTCTGGACATCATAGCCTGTCTCATTTGATGGCGCTGACCCTTGCACCCTACTGCTCACTTTTTAAATCTTCACAGCCAATGCCTTGATGACACAGGGTTTTTTTTTTTTTAATATAACCTTTTCAGTCTGTTTTGGGTAAACATGGCTGAATACTTACAAAGTGGTCAGAAATCGCCTGCAACAGAAACCCAGAGGATCATCACCACTTAAAAATGTGTGTAGTCTCAGCTTTGTACTATTTGATTATGTACACACCACCCCAGTGGGAATACATAAAAATTATAGTGCTGACAAAATCTCAGCAACAGAATGGCTGTGAGGAAAGAGAGAGACAAATATGGCTAAAAGAATGTGAGGATTTATAAGCTGTTTTTTTAGCTTTTAACAAGCTCACAACGCCAAAAAATTATACCTTTGACAGTTTTGACTGTTAGATATTACCACAGAGGTTTAAACAAAGGAAATGACTTGGAAACAAGCCTGAGTGTTTACAATCACATTAGCAGTTTTTTGAGACTTTTCGTAGGCTCAGTGGTGTTTTGAGCATGTCAGCATACTGACATTAGCATTTTGCACAATGACAATGCGAACATGGTGATGTTTAGCTGGTATAATGTTTACCATGGTTATCATCTCAGTTTAGCCTGTCAGTATGCTAACATTGGCTCATTAGCACTAAACACAGTAAAGTACTGCTGAATCTGACGGGAATGTCATTAGTTTTGCAGGTATTTCGTCATAAACCAATGTACTGCGCAACATTTTTTTGGTCTGGTCATCATGTAAGAAGTCCAGTCACTGTTGAGACCAGCTTAAATTCCCTCTTCCCCTTACCAGTGATTTGGCCCACAGATGTATTAAGAGAGCTTGATATGGTGTGGGAAGTCAGTCCGTCCCATTTGGCCATCTGAAATACTGCAACAAAAACCATCTCTCGCAATCCAAAAAGCGTGATCACCAGCTCTTACTTAAAAAAAAAAAATAAAATTGTTTTCATTTAAAATTACTACAGACACCACTTTTTTTGAAAAATGTTTGAAAATCACTTTAAACTGATTCACTCCTATCAAAAAAATATATCTGTAAAATTGCAAAATGTTACCCTATTATATACCCTATTTACATTCTCATCAGGCCAACTAAAGAGATTTGGTAGCAGCAGGAATCATGGCACAAAATGGGAATTTGAAACAACTTACTTGTGGAGAAAATGAGGAAAATGTCAACCAATCAATGATATTTTATTTTGGAGATGGTCACAAAGTACGGACTGAGAATCTGATGATAATGCATTGCATTGTTTGTTTGATTTTGACACGAATGTCATTTTGTTCAAACCTACGAACATCGGTTATGATTGATTTCAGAAACTTTTCAGCTTTGTTTGTGAGTTTCCAAGGGCCATATCTGCATTATTTAAGAGCTTCACAAAATTCAGCACTTTAAACAGGTCTGAGTCGCTCCCATGTATCAAACCTTAACAAAGAAAGACATGCATGGGCATACAGGCTTTGATCAGTACAGACTGGTAGGCCTTGTTCCTATTACTATTTCTGTTTCTACCTGTTTTCTCCTATCACTCACATGTCCACTCGACTCCCTCACCATAGCTCAGTGTGGAGATGTGGACTTATTGCTCAGCAAAGGACACCTTTTCACCTGCGTAATAAAGGAATAATGAGCTGTTCAGACCAGCTGTAGTTTTTGTGGCTTTAGCTCTGCTGTTATTTCCCACTGCTAGTGGAGGACTAAAGGAGGGATGTTTCTGTTAGCGTGACACAGCTGAGTTGAGTGGAAAGGGCACATTACTACTGTCAAGCTTCACTGACCACCTCATCTCTGTAAGCAACGCTGGATTCAGCAGACTAATACCAGGTTGTTGGTTGGGGGCAAAAGTTGCGGCTTGTGCTTATCCTGTATCTGACACAGTGTGATTGTCGTTTAACATGTTTGGTCGATATCCATGATAAAATATTTGGAGAATTCTAATTTGCAATATTTGGTTAAATGTGAATGTGATATCTATGTAAAAACACTGTTTTGTTCTTTGTTTACAAATGTTAAATCAATGATTTAAACACATTTTCAGGCACTTTTTGAGATCCCTCTGTAAAGCTAGTGTGTACATTTAGTTTCCCAGAATCCCTTCCAGGTGTTTTCGAACATATGGTTAGCAAGATGGCATCCAACAATTACAGCATGTCAGCCATTGATTAGCTGGAAGTCCCTTTTAAAGCAACCATGCTTGATAATGATTAATGCAATGATTATGCAGCATGTACAGTACAGAAGGGCTGTGCTTTTCTTTTCGAACTTGTCAACCCATTTCATTTGCAACGGGTTATTGAAGGTGAAATTTGCCTTTTTATTATGAATATCAAATTTTTTGATGGCTGCACTTGAAAAACAAAGAGATGTATTGCATAGTCTTTCCCAGGCGGTGCAGACACCCACTTCTGAAGAGTCAATTAAAAGAAAAAATACATCAAAGTCTTCCTTCCTTTTCCCTAATTTCAAACAAAAGAGGACCCACTGGCAAGGGCACATAAACAGGTGGTAATCCCTGTCCGCCGGTGCACTAGGGTTGGGGTGGGGGTGCAATCTTCTTTTACTCGCTCTCACTGACTAATTGCCCAGCCTCATGCAACTCATGCATTGACAGTGATATGAGTTCCAAGATGATGCCCAAACCAACCCTTGTCACGCCTTGGACTGCAGGGGCTGCATGTGTTGCCATGATAAGGCTCATTGCATTTATTTCAAGCTACTCATTAAGACTGTGTGCCTGAAACTCTCTTTTTCCATTGTGTTCTTAAAAAGATAGAAGCTAGGGGAATGATGCAAAAATATGCCCCGTGTGTCAGGGACTCTGTAAATTACAGAATTAGGAGGCACAGCTAGACTTTATTTACAGAAACGCAAGTGGTGAGCAACAAATGAATGATTCAGGGGGCCTCGACTGACCTCATAATGCCAGCTATTTTGTAATGTTTTAAAAGAAATAAACACTCCAGTAAATCAGCTTTGAAATGACTGTCACAATAATTGGCACAAGATATGTTATCAAAGTCGATACAGTCAGCAAAGTCATTTGTTGCCATGATTTTTATGTTTTTGATACATTTATATCAAGTCAGTCAGAGAAATAACTCTTTTCTCCTCTTCCACTGTTCTTTATTTCTACTGTTCTATCATTCCTTTTGTTTGTGGCATCTGTAGTTTGGAAAAATAACGTGTTGTTAATGAGTGAAGAAAGTATTATAGTTATGATGTTGCTAAACTCCTAACAGAATGGTAAATCTTTTTTAGGAAAGAAATTGCACTGAGGCTACCACAGCAGAAGTCCAAAGATTAGATGGCGAAAAATCTCCCAGAAATGTCTGTTTTTAATTCCAAACCTTTCAATTTGGGAAATTATTAAATTTCCAGCATGGAAATAATATAATTTTTTGATGATGTGGGTGATCATTTTCTTCCCATGTTGCCCTTATTTACAACAGTATGATTGTTTTATTTACAGAAGTTTGAAGTCCATCCAGACCCAATGGTCAGCGTCGCACATATGGCATGTGCCGGTGGAGGGGTGTGGATGGCATTCTCCGAGGGTTCCTCCATTCGACTCTTTCATACTGAAACACTGGAGCTTCTGCAGGAAATCAACATCTCAACACGCTCAACGCTGCTGAACACTGGTACACACACATCACACTTGGGTTTTGACCTCCATATATAGAGGTCAACCTCTATCCTGAAACACATATTTTGTGTATAAAACATAAAATTGTGTTTCTTTGTGACAATGTATTATTTCAAAACTGTACCACAGCATTCCATTTTATATGTACTGGTCACATTACTTCTCTATTATATTAGGGCAATGAGAGGGCACTAATTTAATACAGATGGTGCTCTCCTCCCCAAAATGGTATTCTTGTCTTGTCCAAGTTGCTCCTTGGGTCTTGCACTCCGGGGACTGACCTGAATAAGTTATCCATCTCAGGCCTTCGCAAAGCCATAATAGAGCCATGGGGTGAGAGATAGGGATTAATCTAAAAAAAAAAGAAATAACGTCATTGAGGAGCAGTAAAATGGCAGGCTTAAAGATTTTCATACTAAGGGTTCCCATGGAAACACTCTTGTCTTTTTTTTAAACGACCATGCATTTGTGGTATCATCCCTGTTTTACCTCTTTTTCTCTACACGTACCTCCCCACTTCCCTCCCTTTTGAGTAAATATTTTCCTTTCTTTTTGTCCCAGTTTCTCCCTCTCAGTGCTCGTTTCATCTCATCCACTCTGCTTTAAATCCCCCCAGTTTCACTCCTCACTGCAGTCCGTTTAGGATGCCACAGATAGCCCATTACTTCCTGTGTGCCTTCTTTCACGATGGATGAAATATTTATCAACCACTGTGAGTGTTTTCCATTTTTTTGAGGGAAGAATTTTGGTAAACAAATTAGATAGCAATGAAGTGTACCTAAAACTCATTAATGGTTATGTGACTCAGTGTTACATTCCCTCAAACATGTTCAGGCTGCACATCACATGGCCATCAGCACAATCAGTACATGTGAAGATAATTTTGAGCTTCGTGGAGTGGTATAAATGCATCTGTATTTAGAACGTTTTGTCCTTTTTGTTGAGTCATGCCAGACTGTGATTGATGTATTTAGAGCAATACTCAAAGCTTTAGAAGCACTTCATCACTTTATCAGAGAAAATAAAAGGTTTTCTCTTGTACGTGGAGAAAGAACGAGCAAAGAGTAAAAAATAAAAATAAAAACAGGAATGTGTCCAGACACCAAACTTTTCTTTTTTAGATTAAAGTTTCTTTTTTGGTTCAAGGGAAGACTTTAAGGAGAACAGACTCCTATGGACATGGTATCTGGAGAAAACCGGTGACCTAGAGGTCATTTTCACCCAGTTCCAGTGCTTCCCTTTGAAATATGCAGTAGATTGGAGGAAGGGTGGCAGCCTCAAGGCTCGGCCCTGGGGGAAGTTACAGGGTGAAAAGAAAAAGAGTTGCTCGGTTCATGTCTTCAGGGTCCACAAAAGGAAGAAGATCTTTGACTTGAGTTGTGATTTGTTGAGCTCACAAGAGAGAAGAGGATCCCCTGACACTCCACAACCCCAGATACTGCACATGAAATACTGATATTTTCTCTCTATCAATGAGTCTCTGCTCTCCTATGTTTCTCCTTGACTTATGTTAGGACATGCAGTAATGATATACCCCCTAATCCTTTCCCCTTAATGTGATTTATACTCAACAGGGAATTCCAGTTGCAGTAAACAACAGAGAAGTTTCTGAGGCAGAGGAAACTGCTGATCTCTTCTCTACTAATGCCTTTAATAGTTCTATCCTTAGGGTGAAAAAGTAATATTCCAAAATAAAGTCCTCAGTGACATATCACAGGGAAACGTTTATCTTTGGAGACATCTTCTTTTTAAGGCAAATACCGGCTCCCACGATAAACCCCACTACACACTGCAGAGTGTGTGAAATGCTGCAAAAATTGGAGGTGCGAGATTGCTTGAGGTTAAGCTATACCTCCTTAATCTCAAGTGCCTTTGTCATTATCCTTCTTTATCACTGTTCTTAAAGACAATGCCTGGCACCCACATCTTCCGACTAACTTCAGATTTCATGGTAACCCAAGAGTGGGTGTTCATGACTATCACTCTCTCACTTAAGCTCTCTAACCAAAGTACAAATAGACTCTGAGGCAATGTGAGCAGGTAGCAGTTTTGAGATAAAGTCTGTGTTTTAGCCTGTGCCTAACTCACTAATCTGACCCTCCAAGGTCTCCACACTAAAGGCCTCCACTTCCTCTTCTATGGACAGCGTCAGCTTCCTACATGGGATGATTTATCTCTGCACAGTGAAATGAATGAATTAATGACACTGTTGAGCCACTCATGCAAATTATCATAATCTGAGCATGACACAGAACAAACATGTAAATACAGCTACACATGTAAATGAGCATTCTCTTCGTTGTGATCACACAAGTGTTGGTGTAATTCAATTATAGTTGCCATGGATATTATGGTAAATGGTTCTTATAGATAACTAGGCCACAATGAGAGCCAAGAGCTGAGGGACCACAGATGGAATGCAAAAATAATTCACAACGTTTTTCACTCCTTTGTTAAGTGGAGACAAAGGATGTGCATGCATAATAACAGTGTGCAATTATCCTTTCTCTGTCACTAATGCCTTGCTACAAAAACAATGGAATGGATTGTTTGTTCTGCAATGGAAAACTTCACTACAGAAAACGTATGTTGACTCTTGCATCATGGTCTATCTTATGATGTAAAAAGTTAACTTTACATAAAGAAAATCACCCTGAATTGTCATATCATCAGAGAACCCCAATAAGCACTAATACCAACTTGATCCAAGATGGCGTTGCGTATAGCTGCCTCTTTGTTAGCTGCGCTTTGTTTTGTTTTTGTATGTTAACTCAGTTTTCAGCTGTGATTCCCGGAGCTCTTTCACCAGAGAAGAGCTCATGAACATTAGGGGAACAACTCCAGTGGATTTATTTCCCACTTTTCTCATGTCACCAGTGGAATTATTGGACATTTTGGTGAAGGGCACGCTCGCTGCTGTTCGGGCTGTGAAGCATCCAAAGAGAGGGAAACGAGCCGGGTGACTCGTGCATCTCTGCCAGCGGGGACTCCGCTCACTGTGCAGCAAACTGGACAAATTTCAGCTACGGGTGGGGACAAACCGAGACTGTTATTCATCTTCTTTTCTGTGCTTCATACCGGACTCTGCGTTGCAACTGGCTGGATTCCACCATTCCATCATGGTGCACCTGATTCCTGCATACAGGCAGAAATTAAACTCTGTAAACCTTTGCTGAGGACATCAAAGAAATGGACCAGTGAAGCTGTAGAGGATCTTCAGGCATATTGGGACTGCCACCAACAGTCTGGATGAGTTTATTGATGCTATGACGTCCTACATCAGTTTCTGTGAGGACAGCTGTATACCACCATACACCAAGGTGAGTTATAACAATGACAACCCTGGTTCACAGCTGAGTTCAGACAGCTAAGGTTGGAAAAGTAAGAGGCATATAGGAGCAGGGTTAAAGCACAGGTTTAGCAAGGAGGTGCAAGAAGCTAAACAACTATACTCAGAGAGACTAAAAGACCCGTTCTCTGTAAACGATGCCACTTCTGTCTGGAGGCGGTTCAGACAGATCACAAACTACAAACCCAAAGGCCCCCCACTCCATCGACGACTCTCACCTGGCAAATGACCTGAACCAGTTCTACTTCCGCTTTGAGGGATAATCAGACACCATCACCTGTGACTCCTCCGCTCAGCACCTGGACTTCCCTGGAAACTATGCCATGATACTGTTAGTAGATTTCAGCTCTGCTTTCAATACCATCATCCCGGCCCTGCTGCAGGACAAGCTTTCTCAGCTGAACGTGCCTGACTCCACCTGTAGGTTGATCACAGACTTCCTGACGGACAGGAAGCAGCAGGTGAAGATGGGAAAACCAGTCTCTGATTCCACAACCATCAGCACCAGTTCACCTCAAGATTGCGTTCTTTCCCCTCTTCTCTTCTCCCTGTACACCAACAGCTGCACCTCCAGTGACCAGTCCGTCAAGCTCCTGAAGTGTGCAGATGACACCACACTCATTGGGCTCATCTCTGCTGGGGATGAGTCAGTCTACAGGTGGGAAATTGACTATCTGGTGACCTGGTGCAACCAGAACAGTCTGGAGCTCAATGTTCTGAAGACAGTGGAGATGGTCGTGGACTTAGGAAAGAGCCCAGCCCCAGCCTCTCCCATCATCCTGTGTGAATCCCCAGTCGCCACTGTAGACTCCTTCCGCTTCCTGGGCACCATTATCTCGCAGGACCTCAAGTGGGAGCTGAACATCACCTCCCTCACCAAGAAGTCCATCCTCACCTCCTCTATCACCATCTGCTGCCACTGACAGGGACAAGGGCAGGCTGCAGCTTATCATTCACTCTGCAGAGACGGTGATTGGCTGCAATCTTCCATCTCTTCAGGAACTGTACTCCTCCAGGACTCTGAAGCAAGCAGGAAAGATTGCAGCTGACCCCTCCCATCCCAGACACAAACTGTTTCCGACTACCCTCTGGCAAGAGGCTGCGGTCTATCAGGACCAAAACCTTGCCACAAAAACAGGTTCTTGCCATCTACAGCTAGCCTCATTAACAAGGCCTGGGTCCCCCACTGACACCCCCCCTTTCAAATAATGTAAATGTCTCTGCATGTCTAAATCTTTACTTCATTTCATATCATGCACAAACCTGGTACATTGCACGTATTTGTTGTTAATGGCTAATTGTTGTTGCTCTATATTTTTATATTGTCAATTTTATATATTTATATACACAATATTCTCTTCCATTGCAATACGTCTGCATAACACAAACCGGAGTAATGCACATGTAAATATCTGTCACATTGTTCTTTCTCTGCAAATGGTTGTATTATTTTTTTCTATTCTTTTATAATTATTACATAACTTGCATCTGTTTATTCCATATTTATATTTCTACATATATTTATGTAAACTGTATGTTTGTCTATGTGAAGCACCTTATCACCAAAGCAAATTCCTTGAATGTGTAAAACACTACTTGACAATAAAGCTCCTTCTGATTCTGATTAGTGGATCTCATCAGATCTATGTTTGCATACGGTTCATGCCAGCTCAGGTCAACCCCTTATAGTAACTGTGAGTACAAAATATGTTATATGTTATGTAAATATGTGACTTCAAATCCACATCTGTCTACTTTATTAATAATAAGTCAGTCTTAAAGTTTAAGCCTTTGACAGCCATAAAGTGCTTTGTTTGATAGATGAGTCACAGACTGACAATGTGCAAGTGTTATGAGTGATTGGCAACTCAAATTAAATAATTGACCTTGAAATCAAAACTTTAAATGTTATTGACAATGAAAGTCTTTCTGATCTTCTAAATATGTAACCTAAAAGCATGTGGTTTAAGTGTTTTCTGGGTCCATCCAAGTATATTAAATCAGAAATTTCTCCAATAGTTACTATAATAATTGTTTGCATTAAAAAAATTAACATTGATATTTTTTCTTCAAAAATCATTGCTCTCTTTTATGTCTTACAAGATAAAACCTTATCCTTCAAAGTTAAAATGTGTTTTTAATTTTCTTGTTTTGTACTTAACGTTCTGTGTAAACCACTGAATTATACCCTTATTAGTTATCAGTTAATTGTTCTGGGTGGTTAGATCTTTTTTCTTGTTGAAGTAGGGTGTGTTTCGTGTTTGCGTAGGACACTAAACTAGAACACTTGAAAGAATCATGAGGTTGTGTGTTGCTCTGCCATATAGTAATAGTAACAAAACAGTAACAAAAAATGTAAGGAAGATGTCAATCACGCACAGACTGAACACTGATTGGATCAACCAAAATTATTGAAAACACCTGTTCAGGCATACCATACAGTAGGGCCTTACTTATTTGCGTCAGGAAATTATGGATTATGGTGTCTGTATTTAGAGTACCTTTAGGATGTCTGACATTTTACCAATGAAATAAAACTTTCCTGCATATCAGGCTATGTACAGTAGAAGGTGAACACTTTGAAGCTCAATATTTCCAGACTGCTTAGATCTCAAACATAAACTTGTAATATTAAGTTCACAGAGTCTTGTTTCCTACTTTGAGAGTTTTTCTTTCAACTGGGTCAGTAGCAAGTAGACAAATCCAATTTTTCATAATCTTATGTAACCCAGAGCCCTAGGTGACTGTGCTGTGCATGTGTTGAGCTTGTCAAATACAGATTGATCACAGAGCTTAAACCTTACCCAAAGCTAACACTGATAAGCAACAATAAAAGTATTTTTACTTTTTTCATCATGCTAGGACCGAACAGTTAATTTAATACAGTGTTTTGGAAGAACCTATGGTAATAATAAAATCAATGGGAATTCATAGTTCACTATCTAAAAGATAGACCGTCCAGTCTGTAAAAGTTCAGGTATCATTTTTTCAACAGGGATTTATCTTTAATTCTTTCAAAAACTGTTATAATTTTGAGCTGTCATTCTGTAACAATCTCTGGCAAAGAAAACTCAATTACATTTTCTGTCATTGTTTTCTTGCTTCCTTTATTGCAGGTCAAATGAGCATGCGAGTCACAAGTCTCCTAATTTGCCATGGGCTGTTATGGGTGGGCACTGCCCAAGGCTTAATTATCACTCTTCCAGTTCCCAAACTCGAGGGCATCCCCAAAATAACAGGTATGGATCAGAGGGGGGCGACGGACTGTGATTGAACAGCCTCTTGAGAGGTCAAAAGAAAAGTGAAGACTTTTTTTTCTTGATAAAAATGACTGTGCCCTGCCCATTATTGAGGTCACACTTCACATTTTTCTCGTGGCTCTTGGAATCAGTGCAGATATTATCAGGCAGGCAACACACAAATCATACTGTATATTTTATATTTTTGCAGAGTAATTTAAAAACTGCCTGGCAGCATTTTGTTGATTGTGCCATGTGAATGAGATCCTTAGTTTTCCACTTGTACAAACCTTACTTAAATGACCATCTTATTCCAAGTTAGTTTATTAAACACCATGTAAATACACCACAAATTATAGCTACCATTATTACTGATACAGCAGTGTTATTATAATAAATTAAAACAGTTAACAGTTTATGATATACAGCATGCCATACAGGGCTGGGTTCAAGTCAAACTGCCACTTGCATAATAATGTCGTCTGACAGACAATGACCTGACCTCAGCCCTCAGTCTCTCTGAATGACTGAATTAAATATATTGTCTGCCTGCCCTGTACAGGAAAGGGAATGATCTCTCTAAATGCCCATTGTGGGCCCGTGGACTTCCTGGTAGCCACCACTAGCACTCTGTCTCCTGAACTGCTGAAGAGGGATTCTGTCGGGGATGGCCCAGACTCTGCCTGTGGAGGCGAGGACCGCAGCGACACCTCCTCTCAGGAATCCCTGCAACAGCCCGGCTCCTACCAGGGGGAGGGAAGAGGCAAAGGACGCGGTGTTCTGCTGCAGTACAGGCTGCGCTCTACATCAGGACTGCCTGGGCAGCCATTAACGGCGCTGGTTGACGAGGCATCGGACTCCTCCCTGGAGTCTTTGGAGCATAGCGTGGAAGATGGATCTATCTATGAGCTCAGTGATGACCCAGAAATGTGGGTTCGGGGACGTCCTTGTGAGAGAGACGGGGGACGCAGGGACAGGGTGATCTCTGCAGCGGTTATCTCTGGAGGCAAGGGCTTCCGTAGACTGAAGGAAGGAGCAGCAGCAGGCCCTAGGACAAGTGGGGAGGGTTTAGAGAATATTATTATGGTATGGCAGCTCCCACTGACAGTGTGATATGGAAAATATGTGACAAGGTTATGTGTATTTATAGATGTCTACTCAGTTTAGCCTTGAATCACCTTTTCCATAAATTGTGGGATTTGAATATATGATGAGAAGGTGTTGCCACTGTTACAGAGCCTGACATCTTATAATTTAGCCTCTGGAATAAAGAACCGAAGACATGCTGTTTACTAGAGGTACTGTCAGCCCATAGCACAATTTCATTGTTCAGGGTTGTGCGCCATCATCTTCCCAGTAGTGGCATAGGTCGCCACGATTAGTTCCATGTGATTTGATCTTGTTCCTCTTTCTGCCTTAGCTGAGACTGATATGCCTCAATTTAACCTCATCATTGCTGCATATGCTCTGCCACATTTATTTTATGCGAAGGTCTTCTGTTTGAGCAGCCATGGACAGCAAGCCTTTGAGAGGCAGCCTTTGTTGAATGTTACACATCTTTTATCTGATCATATGGGAGCGATCCCATCTGTTTAGAGCAGAAAGCTGGGGACTTCCACCGCATCACAAAGCACATTAGAATCACTTTATTAGCTTTGGCAGCCTTTCTTTCATCCCATACAATGTGAATGTACGATACCTTCTTTTGTGTCTCAAAATTGAATCTGTGCTCTCTTCAAAAAAAAGAATGACATTTTTCCTGTTTTGTTGCAAAAAATTATTTGCTTCCAAGAGCTCACCATCCCTCTGGTAGTGCAGACTGGCTGCAAAACTGAGTTGCAAAACAAAAGTTATAAGAAGATGCTATTGCTCTACATTAAAGAATCTATATTTGCACTGCCAAAATTCTGTAATTATTGCAAATTTATTTGAGGAAAAGTATTATCTTGCCCAAGCATTGTAAATGTCAGATATCTCTTTCATTATTCACTGTAATCTATCAGCTAGATAAAACAAATTTGTACACATGGTTGTTAATACAGTAATACACATCTCACATCAACTGGAAATCCCAGTTACACATCAAAAGCAAAACTCTTTAAACTAATGATTAAATAAAGCCCTGCAGCCATGCAAACTGCTATTGGCTGTGTATAAACAGAGGGAAGATACCTACGAGAGGAACCAATTAGCATGTTTACATCCACATTAATTTTCAATAATATACATATTTCTGATTAAAGATGATGTTTTACAATATAGCATAAGTCTGTATTACAGTTAACAGGCACTGATGTATACCATCTGTGTCGTTAGCCAGGACACTAAGTCATGTAAACCTTGTTCCATCAACACTTATTTTCCTTCTGTTTTCATGGTAATATTTGGAAAATATTTGGAGTTAATGCACATTCATATTTTATGATCAGGATATGAAGATGCACATAAACAACTTTTCATCCCTGGCGGGTGGAAACTTCACATCTCCGTTTTTGATAGTTATCATGTCCTCAGATTAATTGAAAGATTACATGTTCTGTCTTTAACCTGATAGGCAAACCCTTTTAACCACATTGAATGATATAAAAGTGCATTGTCATTACGCTATGTACAAGCTGTTCTCTTTTTTTAACTTGTAAATACACCATTTTTCATTTAAAGTCACCTAGCAGCATTGGCAAGTTTGTAAACATGGACTGTTGACATTGGCATTGCAGACAAAACCAAGAACTACTGTGCAGGTTTACTGGGCACATTTTTCACAGTGTGTGGACACAGTGGGTGGAGGCCATGCAAGTATCCAGCTATGAACATAGCTTGGTTGAGTTTCAATAAACCGAGCGATGGTGAAGGTTATGGTATATCACTATCCTCCACCTCTATCTCTACTTAGCCCTTCCACCACACATGGATTCTCATCTTATCACAGAAGAGGCATAAAGTGCATCTTTTGTATTTTCCCTTTTTTTTCCTCCACTGAAATTCAGGCGTGTTTAAACATCCTGCTGTCTGAATCATTCAAAAAAATAAGAAAATGTAAACTGGCCTTTGGATGCTGTCATCTAAATGTAAATCTCAATGTCTTGTCAGAAATGTATACTTTTTTTCATTTGAGATGCTGCTGGAGCCACAACACCCTAATAGTCACTATTGAGGATGTTCGTCCAACCTTTACCAGAGGATGAGTGTGTATTCCGCTTGAGTAGCCTGATTAAATATGTGGCATTGTTGAACTGTTTCACAGGCTTATCCGCTAACAACGGATATTTAATCTCAAATAGTGACCTTTAATGAACATTGACTCATACATTTATTTTGCTTACACTACATGTGTACAGGTATTATCCATGCACTGAATATTAATACTCACTGTACTACTAACTAGAAATGTTACTGTTCTTGTTAAACCTATATTTCCTCTGGACTCTGCAACAGTGTTGATGTTTTAGATGAGACTGTATAAGGCATAGTTTGTGTTTTATTTCCTGTGGTGTTAAAGGATAAGTCCCATTTATTATAGATTTGGTCTTATTTTTGGCCTTTCTTTCTGTCAGTTTTGAAAATGCTGAGATCTGGGAATAATGGTAATATCACTAAAAATGAGTCTGTCCAGATAGGAAATACAATCAGTCAACCGATTATGCATGTTTTAAACAAACACCCTGATTTGGAAGAAAAAAGAAGAAATCATTCACTTCTAAATGAACATCGTCACAGTCTACAGACCAACTTCCAGGCTCAACTTTGACCTATCATACTTGCTGTAATCTTGTGCACATAGTTTTCCTGTGTAATGAAGCATTATTACTGACATACTGGGTGCATTCACCTTTAGTTCTACCACGTACAACTGTTCACTCTGTGATCATCTGATACTCAGCTTGTTTCTTGATCTGTCAGACCTTGTTGTAGCGATGCTGCTATGTTCCCGTATCTCAGCGATTACTTTGGTGATTACAAAATTACAATAACTGACTGAAATGATGGTCAAACCTACAAAAGTAAGGTTACACAAGGAAAGTAATAAACCGGAATTATCCTTTAAGAAAAAGTATTACACAAAATGCCGCCACAGGCACATGGAAACACTGCTCATTTCCCTGTAATGTTCCCAATAATGTTACATGTCTAAACAGTGTCTAACAAGCTTATGTTGAATTAAAAACATTTAAAGATGAGTTTGAGTATCATCTTTTTTATATGACTGATTTAGAATGATGATGAAGGTGTTTAATGTCAAGTTACAGTAGTATTAAGAGATATGCCACACTGTATCTGCAGCCTTATTATGTGAAAGATGTTGCACCAGCTCATCAACAGAAAGTCCTGTCTTTGATGTATCATTTGGATGATCTTCTCACCTATTTGGTGTGGTTGGTTTGGTGTGAAATTATAATAAGATAATATCTCAACATCTGCTGGGAGCCAGTGCTTAAAAAAAAAGATGTTTCCCACTGAAAACCTACTGTACTTTATCAGGTGGTGAAGTTAACATTGATCCACACAAGTGTGAGATTTATGCCTGATCAGAAGTGTTGTCAAACATTTTTTTCTGGTTTTCCAAGAAGTGAGCCTTCAGAGATGAGGACTAGTGGTTAGTTTGGCCTACATCCTGTTACTTTAACTTCTCCACCTCGGATAAAGAGCAGGGCACAGCCACTTCCCTAAACTTTATCCATGTAGGATGTCACTGGATGGGAGGTTTTGGTGTCTCTCAGATGGTCGTGTCACTGTGTCGGTCTGAATGGCATACTACCAAATCAGCAGAGCGCAGAGGAATAACATAATGCGGAGCACACTGTAGAATAGGTAGATTCTGGCTGCCTTTCACATCATTTGCATAAAGTCCCACTGAGCTTTAATCACTCTCCGATGCCATGACTGTGCTCTTGTCTTAGCTGTCTAGAGAAAACCAGGTCCCCGCTGTAATTCAGCTGCTGCTTCAAACCACATCTGGTTATTGACTCACACATCATGTAACCGTTTTTTCTCTGATAATAAGGTGCTTATTGGTGAAACCTGCAACGTCACTCATATTAGAAATAAAAGACAGACTACTCTTATCTGTTTACAAAAACATTTTGTATTAGAGTATGAAAATCAAACCTTGTTTGTTTAATTATTATGACTTCTTTCTCTAAACATTAATTTTCCCCCATATATGACGTTATACTTTATACACTACAAGTTTTTCTCAAAATATTATGAATCTCCAAATTTATTCCCTCAATGTGGCCCTTATACTCCATAAGACGGCCCCTTCGTTTTGTGCTCAGCGGTGTTACATGTTCCATACCCTCTGGAAATCACGTTGCAGGTCACATCATTTATTTGTTTCTTTCTCAAGAGCATTGCTCGCTCAAAGTTGAAAAGAGCATCAATTTAATAAGTTGATTGCACTTTACAATAAAAGACAATGTTAATAATTTTCGTTAAGCCACAATGCAATAACATGTCATTATCATATCAATATCAATTTAAATTTATATTTTTTGCCAATTACAGGCAAATTGCAGTTTCTATGAGTGAGTAAAACTTCTTAGTTAAATGATCACAATTAAGAATTGGTTTTCTCACATCCATGCCTCTTCACCTTCATAGGGGCAGTGTCACTGGCTTATGTTGTTCAGGGAGACAAGCAGCATTGTTACGAGCAAGCTCGAGCTGCAGGCGAAAACACACTAGGGAACCCCTGCAATCCACCTCTTCCACCCCTTCCCTTACTCTATGCACTTGTCTTTATCCCTGTCGCTCCCTCAATGTGTTTTGTTCTCCCTCTTTCTTTTAACACATGTCAAAGAAGTCAGCACAGAATACAAATCCACTATCCATCATTGTAGGAAATGAAGCGATGTGCTATTTCCACATGACCAATATCAGCTCAATGTGTGCTGTTGCTCCATGACCTGAAAGTTACATTAATAGCCTCGTCTTCCTACTCACTCCACATGGAGCAATCAGGCCACATAAAGGCCCTTCAGTGCTGACAATGTCAAATAAAGGGGCACAGGGTGGTGGCAGCAAAGCTGTCCATCCACTGAAGTGAGCCTCAGTAGTAGCATACAGGAAATTAGCAGGAAAGGTCAATGCTGAAAGAAACCATAAATGATGTGCTAAATGAGAGTAGTCAGATGGAGGTTCAGGTGTGTATGATACATTTAAGATAGTTACAGCACAGAATTATACTGATCACAGTCAGCTGAGGCTTTCAAACATACTTTCATTTAAATCTACTTGAGGCTGCATATGAAAAATGTTACATGAATGCAAACAAGCACAGATTTGTTTTTTATTAAATGTAGCAGAGATTGGGAATTGAGTTAGAGACTCGGACTGGAGTCCGACTTAAGTCGCGCACACAGTGACTTCAGACTCGACTTGAGACTTATCCTCAAAAGACTTCAGACTTGACTCGGACTAGAGCTGCAGGATTCGTGAACAATGTTTATTTTTAATGTTATTTAATGTTTATTTTATGTTTATTATTGTTGATCATGTAACGTTACAGTTTTATTTAGTTAACCCTCTTACTGTAGGCTAGTTAATATCTGTCATTAATTGCAATGCACATTACATGGTTGTGCTCTGTAAATTAAAAACAGGTTACAGTTACAGAATTCCTTAAAGCTATGCAGTTTTATCAGCAGCCTGGATTGAACACAGCAGGTGATACAACATTTATTATAGCCATGAGTGACTTGAGACTTGAATTGGACTTTAGCTCAAAGACTTGAGACTTGACTTGGACTCTAGCTCAAAGACTCTCTGAAATGTGGTGATGTCTTTTCCAGACTTATGATACAAAGAATGTGTGTCAGAAAACAAATGCATTCTTTGCCATTCATATGTCTCCACATCCTCTGTGGATGTGTATAATCTAGGCTTTGTTTACTTGTACTCTTTTCAGTTGCAGCAGGCTCTCATTTACCCAAAGTTTTTGGCTCATAGATGTTATCCTGGGAGCACCCAATACATAAACCAGCATCCAGCAACACAGTAAGGATCGCACCACTACAGGAAGCTAGGGTCCATAAAACTCCAGCGAGAATTGAGAATGTAATACTGATCTGATAAAGCAGTGCTGAATTGCACCTTGTACCTGGGTCAGCAGTAGAACACATCCTTGCCTAGAAGCAAAATGACAAAATGAGAGGGCGAAATGCTTCGCAAGCATTTCACTGTCAACAGTATATGGCATAAATGTGTGCTTTTTCTGGTGGGACTTCACAAACCCCCTTTTCTAAACCTTTCTATAGATATTTTCTGCCAATTAACCCTGCTTCAGGAGAGATTTGCCTATCTCAAGCCCCAGCTTTGCGCCTGTGCAGCTTGCGGCGTCACTCCCCCTACGTCTCAGGTATAATTTGCATGCCTCGGTCAAGGCTAAACTGAAGCGGATGAAGCGTTGCGGTTTGAAGGTCTCCCTGCTTTATCTGCCGACTCCTAAAAGCCAAGCATATTTGCATTGCTTTTCATTTCCGCAGGCTTGGCAGTACGAATGATAAAGGAAGAGGAGCACACTGTACAAACCTTGCTTGACAAAGGAGGCAGTAGCAGCTAATGATTTGCATACAGAGAATGCAAGGATAAGGCCCACACAGGGCTGCCTCGAACGCTGTTATCGCCCCTCATCAACGCTCCGAGGTGATGCCTGTCAACATCCAGTGCACAGCCCCAAAGAGAGGGGCTGGGTCACACCTTGGTGTCAGATGTAGCTGTCTCCCCTGGCAAAGTCAGTCTCACATGAACCAAAACTATCTATATTTCAATAGAGGATATTGTTTTCCAGTTCACCAAACTTCTAGATCTGAGGACCAAACTCCCCCAATGCCTGTTCAGTGCTCTGACCCATCAATCTCACATTGCTTTATGTAGACCTGTATTTTGCAATGCTCTTAGTGCTGCACACAGATATGTTTTATTTACTACCTTTTAATCATGCAAAAGATTAATGAAAATTTGATCACTCTACATTATTCAACATGTCCCCCAGGAGAGGGGTCTGCTCAATGGCATGACACCATGTCTGTATTTAATAGTTATCATATTCCACAATATTTATCTCTTTGTCCATCTATTTGTATGGATGTACTGAAAAATAAATATAACAGTGGCATCTCTGTAATGCTTTCTTATTCTGCACCTTGCTTTACCTATGGCATTATCTTTTTTTTGCAGTCTGTAAAATCATTATAGGTGAAGTGCAGCTGAGGTGTTTTATAGGCAATTTCCTCAAAACACATTTATATAATGTCTCAGAACCTTTGCTCATTTCCCCACTTCTTATTTAATGTTATGTATAAACATGCCAGTTTTACATGCTCTGCAGTTCCCTCTGTCCTGCAGTGTTTTATTTTCTAAGACTGTTTGGGCCTTTGAAGGGTGACCTTCAATTCATATATCTATTGCTATAACTCTCTGCTACTATCTCTGTGGGACCTCTGTGGAGAAGATAACATTTCTTTTTATGTCTTGCAGTGAATAAAGTCACTTCATGCCAGAATTTCTCTGACTATTCAAACAAAATGAGAATCTTAGCATTCAGGTCCAGTCTTTCTCCTTTTCGCATCCCTGTTGAATTTGGATGCTAGCCAGAGAGCATTTCATAGGTAAATAACGTGTTGAATGTGGCTCTAACCTGGCTGCATTTCACCAGAGGAGCAAAATATGTCTTGAATCATTTTTGGCATCAAAAATAACAGTTCATCTTTGCTTTCTCTTTCTGTCTGACATGCTGATGCAATACTCGCATCACCTGCATCCGGGGACTCACAGGAATGCTGAACAATATTAATTTTGGGCCTGTTGTTTTCAATGATAGTCATGTTTCCTGACAAGATTCAGAACAGTGTTTTGACTCATAGTTTGGTCAAGTTTAGTTTTTACTCTCACACCCTGCTTTCCCCTCCATCTCTCTGTCATTCCTCATTCCTGCCCCTCTTCCCTCCTGGGTGATGTACAGTACCTTTTAGTGCCTGTTGTCCTCAGCATGACAGATGGAGGCTATTAAAAAACATTTTCATTGTATTATGGTAAATTACATAGCCATGTATTGTATATTACTGTTCCCAAGACAATGCTAGATGAAGAACTCATATGACCATCTAATCATGGGTTTAGTAGATGACTATCTGTGCTTTAGTTATAGAGGGTTTTCACTGAGCTGCAGTTTCTCACT